GATTCAGCAGATTACCTATCTTTGCATACTAGTGTCGACAACTTAATGTAGTTATGCCTGATCTTGAACCGCAAAGCATGTTCATCATAGTTACTCTTGTTGCTTCAGTTTAGTTCCTGAAGCTCAGACGCATGCTGTGGAACCAGGGCAGAGCAAATTAAGCCTCAGGATCCAGGAAAGGGACAAGGCTATTTTATAATCCGAATATGTGTTTGGTCTCAGACTATTAGACCATCTAATTCAGTGGCAGGGTGAGGCAAATAAGGACAAGTATGTCATATTTAACTGAACTAATTAGATATTTTGTCAAATTCATAAATTGGATACTAAAGAGATGTATGGTTTTAAGTACAATCTTGAAGCTGAGATCCTTCAAAGGTCCCTATCCATTTAGGTATTACACTGCTAGTGTCCGCTAATCTTTTTTTAATTTATCAGGACCATAGCCCCTATCTTTTAATAATCAATTCAGGATATGATCTGCTTTCAGTTATTGTTACCACACCATGTTTCAAATACACCAGGAACAAATTAGGCAGAGGGAACCCATCTGCTATTTTAAAGTGTCCTTGAATGTTTTCATTTTTACTGGTGCACAGCAATACTTGCTATAACAAAATTAGGCAACAAATTATGACTAAAAAATATTTTTACCTGTACTGATGTTATTCCTCCCAGGTCTAGGCCTTATCCCTATACAGAGTGTATTGTCACTCCCTAAAGTTAGATCAGATTTCTGTTACTGATACAATTTTCATGTGACACTTGTCCCTTCTAAAAAGCCAAATACAGACTCCCCCACAAAGACCAAATTACAGCTGGAGGATTTGTGCCTATACAGTATCTGGAAGATTTGTTAGATGTGCTTTGCTTTACAAACTTCAATAAACATTGTTTGAAGAAAAAAGAGGCCAGAATCAGAAGTGATGAAAAGCCAGGTTATGTAACCTTAAAGGAACCTCAGCTGTAACCAAGCATTAGACTTCAAAAAAGATCCTCCATTTTGTATCTTTCAAGTTTAACTGCGGAAACCACAAACCCACTTCACATCTGAAAATGAAGCAGAGTCCCCTGGAAAACTGCCCCTGCTTCCTCTCTCTTCCAGGGGGAGAAGTAATGGTTAAACAAAAGCTGGGAAAATGTGCCTGTCTGCTGTTGTTAACAACATTTGTGCAACAGATCTTTTCTCCAATGAGCATAAAAGCACAAAACAATTCCAAGTAAAAAAGTAATAACTGGTGATTTTGTTAGTCTTCATCACATCTAAGAATGATGACAGTACTGGATATTATCTTAGAGATTGGGATATAAAGAGGTACCACCAGGATTCCTGTAAAAATAGATAGTTTCTTCTAATCTAGTAAAACTCATAAACAACTTTTCTCATGACCATTACCCATGGTTCTTTGCAATCCAAACTCAGCTTGGACAAAGAGTAACAATATCAATTCATCCCCTGCTCCCACATGTTTTCTTTAGTGTTTTATTCAGCAATAAAACTTCAGACATGTCTTGTCCATCAGGCTTCCCACAATGCTGATCCCAAACCCGACATCTGAGTTTTATTTGATTCACAGCTAAAGGAGTTACAAAATCTGTCACAGTTACTGTATTTCTTCAATCTTCAGCCACACAGAACACATCCTAGCTTTCTGCAGGGCAAGAATTGAGAACACTGAAGAAAATATCAGAACAGAAGTTTTGGCTTTCGGTTTCTTCCAGCCAGGCTAGAGTAGGCACTACCAACACTCTTCCCAAATCCCCACATTATCCCATAAAATAACGGGAGTCCTCTTCTGAGCCTGGGGTGCTATCTGTGTGGAGTGTGCATGTTCTCCCTGTGTTTGCATGGCTGTCCTCTGGGTGTGCAGGTTTACCTCACACTGCTCACATATTGAAAAGCTCAATGGATCTGGTGTGAACGTGTGCGTGTCTGTGTTTGTGTCTCTCTGCCCTGTGATGGACTCGTGTCCTGTCCAGGATGTACCCTGCCTTTTGACTGTTGCATGCTGGGATAAGCTCCAGTGACACAGAATTGGTTAGAAAATGAATGTTCAAGCAGGAGCCTCCTTTTTTAGAACTTAACCTAATATTATCACAGCTACTTAAAATGTCTGTTTGCATCATTACTTTAAATATAAAGAGCATTAAAAAAATTGTCGTTGCTGTACATTGGCCATACAACAGTGAGGTTTGAAGAATAGTTTAGGAAAGCTGAAGTTGAATACTCTAAATACACAGATAAACAAATTTGTATTGCTTTCAAGAAGGAACTTTTTAGGAGTCATACGACTTGTTTCATCTGTAAAAGAGATTCATGTTTAAAAAAGAAACTGGAAATCTCATCATACGAGAATAGCATAACTTATATAACTCATCTTTAACTCATCAAAAAGTTACCATAATCCACAGTCACCCTTGATAATAGCATCAATATAGTGCAAGAATCTACAAGTTTTAATGCTACACTTCACATCTCATATTTCAGTGTTTCGAAGACAAATAGTAAAAATAAAGGCAAGTATTCCAAAATCCATGCAACTTCCTTTCCCAGAGGATCCCATTTAGAAATTGCTGGATATTTTTTGAGAAGAGTGAGGAGACTGTTTTATGTCTTGCCAAATGCCTTGAACAACAAAATCCTTTTTTCAAAAAGGAAGCCAAGCAGCAGAGTTTTTAAGTGAAAAGGGAAAATGTTCTTCTTTCGATGGTAACTCCGCACAAAGACAATAAAAGCTTCAATAATCTTCTTGTAGAGTTGATATAGGCAAATACTAATAAAACAAATATTGTTTTTATGTGTTGTTGTCTTACAAATACGTTAGGTTGCTCACAAATGTGCTGAGGTAACTATAGGATACGTCGCATGAGCTCAGTTGCGTTACTTCTATACAAATGACATAAGGCGAATGTCCCTGTATAACATTTAAGTGAATGTAAACTCTGCAAATGAGGCAGAAGCCACCATGTCGTCTTATGACCAGAACAAGGAAACAATATTTGCATTATGTAAAAAACTTAATTAATCCATTGCATCTCCCTAACAAATGAAACCGGTATCATCAAGGATATGGAGACTTCTGGGTAATTTCCACAAAGTAGTCTGACTGTCAGCTTACAAGGTATAAGCGATACTCAGTTATTAAAAAAACAAGAGTAAAACATAGGATTCGATTTCCATCTGAATGAGTGAGTGGCCTATTTAAAATGCGTGGCTGTTCTCTTTCAACTTTGACAGGTTTCACCGTTCAAAACCAATCAACTTGAGGAAAGCATACAATGCACTTATTAAAACTGTGATACAACACATCCTGTGCTTGTGAAATTCTTTGGCCGCACGTGAAAACTTCTCCAAACTCTCATCTATTATTCATCCACTGAGACTGCGCTGCGCTGTCTAAAATTACTCGGACTCGGTTTTGCAACTGCTCTGAAACTTCTGCCAGTTCGTACATGGAGCCATTTCACAAGTCATTGTAAACACTTTGATTAAACTAAAAATACGTAAAATGCAGGTTTCAAGTGGAGCGGCCTTGTTATTGTCATGAGACAAAAATACATTTTGAACCAAAAATGTAAAAGTCTTTGGATTACACTACATCACATCTAAATGAGGAGCATGGGGATTTGTATACCATGTAGTTTCACATCATACTCAAAGTTTTGTAGCATCTGAAAATGAAAATCCCGTTATAAGCATCCCTCAGGTCGGATGCTATAGAAGTTGCTGTGGCCTGACGGTATGACAACATAGGGTCTCCCCCTAGCGGTTGGTAATACTACTGCATGTGAAATTGTAAGGCGTTGTCTGCGTTCTCTGATCAATTAATCGTTTTCCTTGGATCATCAAGGTAGTGGCGCGGATCCCAGATACTGTCACTTCAGCTGATATTTAAGTTACTCCTCCTGTACTCTTTTGGAGATGAATAGCTGCAGCTCCGTATTATTAATGTAACTGTCGGATCATTAACCTACACTTATGTAGCTATTATTTTTTTCATGATATATCATTGTAACACTATCAGTTTAGTGAATAATATACTTTTTGAGAACTGTTCAAAAACGAATAGTCTGACACAATTGAAAGTTATTCTTTCGTACTATTTCATACAGTAACGTTACGCATCATCACAGAAGATTCTCTTCTGTCGCAGAGATTTTAAAGACGTTTCAACTCTACAGTAGTATTCCTCCTCTATAATTATTTTTGTAATCGGAATGTTCAGAGTTTTTAACGCTTATCCTCGTTGTTTATTTTTACTTAAACCTGCGACTTTCGATACTTTTACATTATTTAGTAAACCGTAATGTACTGTTACAAAGGCCCACGACAACAGCTCGTATTTCTGACGCGAACAACCTGTTTCAACCTGTCAAATACATTCCGTGCAAAATGTAGCGTAATCGAGGGCTGTTTACTACGCGAAATATGGGAAAATACCTTTACAAGCATCACTTTATTTGCGGAGACAGGTCTGTTAGTTCCATAAGCCTATTGAATTTATATCGAGTGAATAAGTGAATTCCATTCATAGCCAAAGAAATTAGTTATATGAACAGTTTCAATATTGATTGATTTGAAAAAAAAATGTATAGAGTTCCGAAATATTAATTACGATTCTTTCTTTGTATTTCACGTGTATTAGGGAAGAGACCTATTTATGACTTGGACCCATCATAATTGCCGGTCTGTTCCATTAACCAACCAAACCACAACAAAGCTCCCGAAGATACAACATCTACCTTATATTCAATTTATACATAGAATAAATGAATGAGATATAAATCCCACACATACACAAAGTCGACAGCTTTCTTTGGCAGGGCTTCTGTGCATTTTCTTTGAAAACTAACTTGTGCATTGCAAACACATTTTCTCTCACATCCCTGTAAAAAAAAACTTCGACAGTTGGTATAATAACAGATTAATTATAACGCAGAAACAGCTGAAAGTTTAGGGTGTTACAAATGAGGAATGACCGAAAAGAGGGTACTCCTACCTGATACACAAGCGATCCCAATCCAAATCCGGCAGAAAATAGTAAAATCTCTCTTCATTTCCAGATTTCCAGTCCTCGGATGTTTAGATCTAACGAATTAAAAAATAAAAACCCAGTTGTTCCTTTTTTATCTGTGAAATCAAAAAGGAGAAAGGGGTGAGAGAGAAGTCTCTGTCCGCGGTCACAGCAAGTCTCAGGTGAGCTTCAGCAAAGCTGCTCTGTCCTCACTGCGCGACAGGGAGGATGTCTAAAAAGTCAGGGAAGAGAAAAGGCGCTTTTCCTGTTAAAAGGAAATGTTTTTTTTAAAGATCAGAATGGATTTACAATGATTTCCTTTTCCCCCTTCTTTTAGCGCTCGCGACTGAGGCACCACATCCACCGTTTACTTTCACAAAAATACAGAAATGGTTTTGGCGACTGTTCTCCATGATAAACCCCCTCCTCACTTCAGTAAAAAGCGAAAATCCCTCCTCCACTCTGTAACACCAGCGCCAACATAACAACGAAGAAGACAAGTGTCCGAATAATTCTGATGTACATTTAATTGTTCTAGCATCTGACATCTGGAAAAATAAAACTTTCAAGTATTGTTTTCTCTGTGTTAGGAGAAAACAGTCAAACGTTTGAGACAGAAAACTGTTAAACTCTTTAGGAAGTTAAATCGAGTATACCTCCGTGTCTTTAAATGATCTTTACGCTTCAATCTGTTTAAAACCAATTGGAATGAAACATCGGTGATAAGAGTGATAAAGCTGAAGAAAACGTTTCTAAAAGAACAATTTCAAATACCTCATGAAGGAAAAACCAACACTGTAAATTGTGCTTTGGTGTTTTTGTACTACGGCAGGTCTCCCACGAAACATCACCTACTAATTTCTTTTGAACCGCTTACAGAAATTAACCCCGCTATGCCGACTCCCATACCTCAGTGTGTTTTACTTTGGTTTGCCAGTGAGCATA